AAGTTGAATTCTTCCCTGTGCTCTGGCCTCTCTGCGCTCCAGTGCAATTTTCAGAGTCTCTTCTGACATCCATTTTGGTCTTTTCTTCCTCTTCTGTCATTGCAATGACCGTTTGCACTCTTCCTGGATGATACCCTTGATATCCCTGTTAAGTAACTATAAACCACTATATACATGTCCATTATAATGATAAATGTGTATGTAAAATAATAAAAGACAGACTGTAAGAGGATTCTGTCAGCCATTGAAATATAGAAGATTATGAACGATTTGTATAGCATTCACTGTATTGAAACACAAGAGTCTATTGTTTAAACGAGACTGGATAGTCATTAAGCTAATGACTAGATGCAAGACAGGCTTTTAAGAGAAATTCTTTCTAACTAGGAAAAGCCTCTTTGAAATGCTTACACCATATCTCTAGCACTGTGATTTCTTCTAGTACTGATTGAGCAAAGACAAGACAGGGCTCACTCACCAAGACTTTATAAACATGCTGCTGACTTCAATTTTCCCCCTCTGTCCAGTGAAGTGAATGTTACTGGGTTAAAAATGACCCTATGAAAATGTCATCTAAGAGTTATTTTCTTAAACCAAATGTAACAAATGGAGAACTAAATGAGTTTGTGTTGGAAATGGGCTATCATGTTGATACCAAAGAGTATGAATACAGGAAAAGCAGGAAACTAATAAGTTGGAAAGTATCAAAAGAGGAATTGCTCTGGCGGAGGCAGCTGTCAGGGACCTCTCAAAAGTGGTAAAGAGCAATGATGTCAGTCTGGAGACTAAAGCATGCCTGATTCAGGCCATGGTCTTCACAATTACTTGCTATGTATCAGAGGACAATGACCAAAGATGACGGAAGAATAGATACCTCTGAGTGGTGATGCTGGAGAAGAGTACTAAATAAACCAAAGACCAACAAGAGAACTTTCCCTTTCTCCTTGGAGAAGGACATTATGCTTGAAAGAGTTGAGGGACAATGCAGGAGAGGAAGATCTCAGAAGAGATGGATTGATACAGTGACTGGGATAATAAGGGTAAGTGTGCTGGAGACATTGAGACTGGTTCGGGATAGAGCAGAGTTCAGAGCTACTATACACAGGGTCTCTATGAGTCACAAGTGACTCAACTGCACATAACAACAAGAAGGAACTGATCATTAGAAGAAGCCATTTATTTTCAGACATCTGTAAATGTCACCTGCTTCAACCATCCTGATAGTGTGAACTTATAAATTCCATTCATCCCACTCATAAGAGTCTTGAATCTGTGGCTGACCACTAATTCTAGCCAGATATTACCCTAAATGGGCACCAGTTGAGTTAATACAATTTGTTATGTTTTCTGTTGTGAGGATACCTGGCTTAGAAAAACAGCAAAGATTACTTTGAAAAGAATCACCCCATCTACCTATCTCTTAGCACTTTCTTCACTTTCATTGGTTCTTGATCACTGCTACTTCCTCAAGTGGTTCAGTCAAACAATTCTTTTCAGTACAACAACTCTGGTTTCTTCTTTCCAACTTTTTCTGATGCTTCCCTCATCATTCAAGATTTTGCTTATAGAATCTTTCAATATTTCATCTTTAATCTCACCCTGCTCATAATGACTACAGTGCCTATCGTGAAGCAAACCCTCGTGTCCAGTTGTAAGGGTTAGTTTTAGTATCTGAAGCAGACACAGTCCTGATGGCTGAGTGCAAGATAACGGAGCCTTGGCCAACTTGACTGGGTTCAGTGCAGAGACACCAAACCCACAGAATTCCTCGGTTATGGATTTGCAGAGGCTGATGACCCTTTGCTCCCAGTCATCGGCAGTTACTGGCCTATTATACCAGTTTTCATGTTCACAAAAAAGTCATTCCTTCTCATGAAACTGGACATCTAGGCAAAACTCACTTTCAAATCTGGGATTCCTCTTTTGTCAGAAGCTTAGCTTCAATCTGAATTGCAGAGACAGTTGATTTTTGTTCCCTTAGACAAAAGTTTACTGTTTCAAGTAAAGTCATTTACTTTTTCAATTCACGTTATTTTGCTTTGACCCCGTAATCAGAATGTCTCCAAGAATTCCCTTTCTCCATCCTCTTCTTTTTCCTTCTTTCTGTTGCTGCTTGTCTTGCCCTCACAATGACTTCCATTTTGAAGTCAGTGGCACAAGATTTACATTTACCTCCTGGCATGATCCTAAAAGGCTTTAAGATTTAGACTCAGAAATGGACAAAAATGTGCACCATATAATTGATAACTGTCTGGTTCTAGTACAAGTATCACAAAGTCCAAAAGTGAGATGTGTAAAGAAGCAAAGGTCTGTTTGTATACTTGAAGCATGTAACTAAATTGTTTCATGATGATTAATCGAGGACATTGACACTAAAGGACTAAGAAGCAAGCAGACTTAATTAACATAGCTTAATAATTTCACTTAAGAAGATCTGATAAGATTTTCCCATTTAATTGTGGAGCCAAGAGCAACAGTATATCAGTTTAGCTTTATTTGTGCCTCCAATTAAAAGGCAGATTCCAAAGATAACGGATAATTGGATAATTACGTCATACAGATAGAGTCAAGATATTTATTGATAGCTACTCAATGTCATTTATACCAGTTCAGATTTTACTTTATTTATACTTCTATTTGTTAGCATGTGACTTACTGGCAAGCTTCAGGAAGTTAAGATTCCAACTGATGATTCAAAAGCAACATGGATATTATTACCAACTCAATAGAAACAAAAGCATACTCTCAATTGTCTCTTTCTCTCCTATTAATGAGGCACTATCAAACTCAATCCATGACTTCTTGACCATGGCTTATATATTTTAGAAATATCATCAAAAGGTTTTGGACTACTGAATGAGTAATGCAGAAAAAAAAAGTCACTTCTAGAAATGCCACAAGACCTATGACATGTGATATACTTATTGGTGCACCAGAGTTGGTGTATATCAGAATTCCTTTACAAATTTTTTCATTGTTATGCTTTCTAAGTGTACCTGTGTTATTTAGATAGACACACTATATGAGAAAATATGGTATACAGGTAACTTAATGGAGTCTAACCTGTTTCTTTAAGGTTATGTTTCTACTAAAAACAAACAATCCCACCCCCACTTCCTCAGGACTACAAATGAGATACTACTTTAGTACTTTCTCTTTTCTATAGAGAAAACAGTTAAGATTACTTTATTTTCCTCATGATATCAAGGACATTTAATTTTTTCACCACTTATATCGAGTCATAATAAAGAATAATTATTGCTACTCCTTTCTGTTACTCAGCGACGAGACTAGGAAATAGATAAAGAAGGCTATGTGCACTCCTGCTCAGTATTCAATTTAGTTATTGCTGAGTCTAAACTGAAGCTGACCTACAAGGAGAAATCTTGATCTAGACCTCAGCATCCTTGGAAGCAAGCACAGTGCTTATTTCTCAACCCATGGCTCACTAGCAGAGAGGAAGATGAGGACCTGAATTAACAAGGCAAGTGCAAAGCAGTTTGAAGAGACTATCTTTTTTGCTTCCAGCCCTACAGCAGATAGAATTCAATTGTTAATTAAAAACATTACCAAAATCCTAAATATGAAATCGCACTACTTCCAATGGAATTATAAACCAGTCTCTATTTTTTTAATAAAAGATGGCACACTACCTCTGCACTCGGTAAACTCGAGTCCAAGGAGGCACAAGGGCTAGGATCCGAGCCACCAATTCTATCAGGTCACTTGGAGAATAACTCTTGTATCTCCCAGATTTCCAAAGCTCATAAAGTCCTGTTCCACGAATCACCAGGGTAGGGTAGAGTTTCAAACCATCAGGACGAAAAGCAGGGTTCTCAAAAAACTCCTGTGAGCAGAAAACATAAAATTAATTCTCTGATAAGTATATAGATGACCCATGGTGATGTTTCAGTCCTGAATCGGTTTCTCTCACATACACTGCAAAACTGAAAACGTTTTACAACGCTTTTACAAACGTTATATAACTCTTCACAGAAATTTCTGCAGACACCTGGATATACCTATTTTGTCTTCAAGACAGCTGGAATCATTCCTAACTTGGAATACACACTGCCTATTTTTATCTAAAAATAGCAATATCACTAAATAATTTACTTTTGCCATACTCATTTCTTGTACCATATCATCCTAGTTGGCTATTTTCTATTTGGGATATAAGGAGATCTTGTTTCTATGACTTAGCAATGGCAATCTGTTCTTATCTTGACTTAACATATAACGTAATGAAGGCATGATGATGGATGGAGTCATCTAGTTCCCTCTCGCTGCCACCTTGGCATAAGTATATGTATACTTGTATTAATCATATCTTGTGAACTATACAAGCAGTTCAAATCCACCAGTTACTCCATGGAAAAAGGATGGGCAATTTCCTCCTGTGCAATTTACCTCTGAAAATCTGCTGAAGGATCAGCTAAGGGTCATTTTTTACTTGACAGCACACAAAAACAACATATTATTCTTAGAGGGAGAGAAATGGTCAATCTCCTCCCATATGATTTACCACCTCAGAAATGCACTGGACAGTCAGCTATAGTAAGTGAGTGATAGTATTCTTAGGAAGAAATCTTTTTGGTTTAGTGGTTAAGCTTCTAGCTGCTCTGAAAGGCCGGCAGTCAATCTCACCATCCACTGAACAGGAGAAAGATGTGACAGTTGGCTTCCATAAAGATTACAGCCTCAGGACCCTATGGGGCAGTCCTACTCTGTTCTATCGGGGCACTATGAGTCAGAATCAGCTAGATGGTAATGACTGGGGTTCTATTACTTTTGAAAAGCTTTCCAATGTTAAGCTTGCATTTCAGAGAAATGCAATTACAGACTTTTTCAATTTCTTTTATTGATTTCTGTTACATTCTTAAATGCTGTTTTCTTTGTGCACCACTTGGACTTAGAGATATTCTTCTGTAATTGTATGTGATTTCCCCTATTATTTATAATTTAGAGATTTGTCAGATCTTTAACACGTTGCTGTAAATGACGGCAAAAAAAATGTGTTTCTAAGCACTGTCGTCAATTTAAAAGTGTGCGGCAACGTGTTAATAAACATTCTGTAGTCAAACACAAAGAACATGTATGCAAGCCATGCTCCACTTTACCTAACATAAATCCACATTCAAACACAGGACTTCAGAAAAGTACTTTCTGGTACTTGTACAGTAAATTGAGGAGACATTTGGACTCATGTTCCTTTTCTAGTAATGAAAATTGGTGGTAATGGCTCTGAACTAGCTAAATACGAAAAATTAAAGTTGTTGTTTCCCTCCCTTTTGTCTCTAAGACTACACTAAAAAAACTCAACAGAGATTTTAAACAAAGACATATAAACACCAAAGAATAAAGACAACAACAAAATAGGTAAGAGGGAGACAAATGACAGCAATATAAGTTTGGAAGATAGAAAATGGATGGATGATTAAGAAATGATTTGGTAAAGGAAGGAAACTGCAAACAAAGTAGCTGTGAAAGAAACTAGGGCAAATATCAGCAAATCATACCACAGCTGGGATACTAGATGTACCACTATTGGGCAAGATGGGGATAGCAGGGAAATAAAAGAAGGGAAACTGAATAGGAGGATTTAATTTTTACTCCTTAAAAAGCTTCAAATTTATTGTTGTAGGAGCTGACTCAAAGCTGACCTCCAGCAGGTTTTCGGAGGCTATAAATCACACAGGAGGATGCTGCCCATCTTTCTCCCACAGAGGTACTGCTGAATTTCAACAGGCTTCCTTTACGTAGCAGTTCAACTCCCTATGGACTATGCCACAGAGCTCCTTAGTTTTTCTTATACAGCTTGATGAAGTCTGCTCCTTTAAGTAACTGGAGAGACTCTGAACTTGGAGATTCCACATACAGTAAAACCTATGAAAGCTGGTTCCTGTATGAGGCAGAAGACTGCCAGAGAAGTAAAACACAGATATTTTCCACTAAAAGAGAGAAGAGTGATGAAACCATCTCACCAAAGGTGGAAAATTTGCATGATCTGGAAAACCAGGACAGTCCCCTGAGTTCTGGCTCTCACAGGTTTCATTGTACAAAGGAAGATCTGGCTAAAGATTAAGGTTAGAAACAGGTCTCGCAAGCAGCTAGCCCGGCTTGTGCTCCATGTAACCTCTGGGTAGGTCTGAGTTACCCACCTTTGACCTTAACTGCTTGAATGCTAACCATCTGGTCTACTAGAGATTTCCTATGGAATTTCTAAGAGAGGAATATTCAGAGACAGAAAGCAGACAACAGGTATTAGGGGCTGGAAAGAGTAGGAAATGAGCACTTACTATTTAATAGGTGCAAGGTTTGTGTTTGAGATGATGGTAAAATTGTGGAAACAGATTGTGAGTAATGGCTGCACCACATTGAGAATTTAATTAATACCACTGGACCATGCACTTAAAAATGGCTTTATAGAAAATACTTTATGTTACATATACTTCAATAAAAATATTTTTTAAAAAACAGTAAGAAAAAATTATTAGATACGTGTGTATGAGTACAGACAGAAGATAAGTAGGTGAGAATTATTTGGGGTAAAAAGATAATCCTGTTAAAATAAGTGTAAAGTGTTACAACTCTCTTAAGAGCAACTTAGTAGTATATTGAGACTCAAACTTTAAGATTCTTAAAATGTGGTACATTTACCTCATAATTCCAGGGAATTTATTAAAAAATCTTAAATATTAATTAAAAAGTTAAAGGCATACTATAGTGTAAGTAACAGTATGAAAAAACTCAGCAATATCGTAAATCTTGAAAAATTTGGGAATGGTTAAGCAAATGATGACATATTTACTTAACAGCAATTGCACATATACTCAAAGATGTCAACAGAAACCAGGCCACAGGATGAGTAAGTGAAAAGTAATTTTAAAAAATTACTTATTATACATATGGAAGTGTGTCAGTGTGTGCAGAGTATACACAGTCTCATCCAAGACAGGCCAAGCAAAGAAGAATTCTGGAAGGGAATATATTAAAATATTAGGGTTTTGTCTGGTGTTGAGGCTGAGGATGTCTCTCTGTTCTGTTTCTAAAGTTCTACAATAAAAAGATATACGTTTATAATGTAAATAACAGAGAACAATTAGAACAATAACAGTAAACAATTAGAACAAAGACAATATAAGAAGCATGCAGAGAGGTATTTAAAAGACAGCCTGGCTGAAGGCCACACTTACGATAAACTGTTCAATGTCTCTTTCCAGCCCCACATTTGGCAGATCAGGCATCATGTGAGCTACAACTTTGAAACCACAATCTTTGGCCAGATGAAAAGATTCAGATACCGCCTTAACTGTGTGGCCCCTGAGGAAAGAAAATTTACCACCTGTTACACAGAAACATAGACAACAAAGTTAACATAAGAAGGCAAACATTCCGAGACATTAGCAGAAACTGTACAAGGAAGAATCATATGTTGCTTGTTAAGTGCTGTCGAGTGGTACCATGGACGAAGTTATATATCTGTATAACTTTCATCCTTTCTCCAAGTTCATATGGTTTCCGGAGGCAATCTATTTTAGAAGTGGATGCCACTCCTGCTTCCAAAAGAAACATATAGCAGGTGGGAAAAATCTCAAATAGTCTTTTTTGTTTTTAAATTTCCTCACTTCTAAAAAGGCTTAGAATAATAAAATAAAGCCAGTCTCATTTACAATGTTGAAATAAAGGTAGCCTGAATTGCTTTATAAGGCTGGGGGAAAGGGGGTGTGGGGGGAGGTGTTGTGAAGGCTTACCTGTGAGATATTTTTCAGAAATTCTCTTATACACTTATTCAAAGTTCTGAAAATAATGACTGAGTTTGCAGGAGTTAATTTATACTAAAATTACTTTGGTTAGCCTCATCAGCTGAAATAAACTTCAATATGTAAATATCTATGCTAAAAACAAGAATAATGAGCTCTAATTCATGTGGAAGCAGCGGGCTTGTTCTGTTCTTTCCTTTACAAATCTTACATAATCATTTGTAGAGAGGAAGACAAAACAGATTTTACTCTGCTTTGGAGAAGAGTTTGGAGACAACTTTAACAGAAAAGTGAGACAACAGAATAACTTGGTAAGAAAGCAAATCATTTGAGGCCAACTGGAAAAATTATCATAACTGCATTTTGGTTCATATCCAAGGAAGAAGCTAGTCCTAGTAACGGTTGTTGTGTACCGTTGAGTTGGAACTGACCCATAGCTAACCTTCCAGCAGTTTTCAGAGACAATTACACAGCTCATCCTTCTCCCGAGGAGTACCTGGTGGGTTCAAACTGCATGACTTTGGGATTCCAGCACAGCTTCTGACCACTAGGCCACCAGAGCTCCAAATAACATTTATGGACAACAAAATACTAAACACTTCCTGCTGCTCTTTAAAAAGAGAAACAACAACAACCAAAAAAAAAAAAAAGAGAAACAAGGTACGGGGTATCTCACTCCCTGATTTCAAATCCTACTACACTGCTGTCGTGGTCAAGACAGCGTGGTACTGGTACAACGACAGACACATATATCAATGGAATAGAACTGAGAACCCGGAAATCAGCCTGTCTATCTACAGTCAACTGATTTTTGACAAGGAGATGAAATCAGTTAGGTGAGGAAACGACAGCCTTTTTAAAAAACTGTTTTGGCAAAATTGGAAAACTCTGTATAGAAAACTAAAGAAAGATCCACACCTCACTCCATACACAAAAACCAACTCAAAGTGGATCAAGGACCTAGGACTAAAACCAAAGACTATAAACTTCATTAGAGAAAAGCTTGGAAGAACTCTAGAAGCCTTAATCCACAACATAAACAGTCTTCCAAGCATAATAAAAAACCTACAACCAGGAGGAGATAAAATAGATGAATGGGACCCTCTAAGAATGAAATCCCTGTGCACATTCATAAACTTCTCCAACAGCGTAAAAAGAGAAGACTGGGAAAAAATATTTGGTAATGTCAGGTCCTATACTTGGACCAAGAGGCAGTTGTCAGAACAGAGCAAGGAAACACTGCATGGTTCAAAATTGGGAAAGGCATACGCCAGGGATGTGCCCTATCTCCATACCTTTTCAACCTGTATGCAGAACAGATTATCCGAGAGGGTGGGCTCTATGAGAAGTGTGCGTCAGGATTGGTGGAAGGTCTAGTAACAATCTGCATTATGCAGATGACACAACCCTGCTTGCTGAAACTGAGGAGGACCTCATGCACTTGCTGCAAAGGGTCAAGGACTGCAGTCTTCCGTATGGACTGAAGCTCAATGTCAAGAAGACAAAGATTCTCACCACTGGACCAATTGGCAGCATCAGGATGGTGAAGAAATTGAGATTGTTAACAACTTTAGTCTGCTTGGCTCCACGGTCAATACTCTTGGCACCAGTAGCCAGGAAATTTAAAAAAAAAAAGTATTGCAATGGGAAAGTCTGCTGTTAGGGACCTCTCCAGGGTACTGAAGAGCAATGGTGTCACTCTGGAGACTAAGGTGAGCCTGATACAGGCCATGGTTTTTGCAATCACTTGTCATGCATCAGAGAGCTGGACAATGACTAGGGAGGACAGAAGGAGAATTGATGCCTTTGAACTGTGGTGCTGGATAAGAGTATTGAATGTACCATGGACTGCCAAGAAATCAGATTCATCCTGGAGAGGGTTAAACCAGGCTGCTCCTTGGAGGCAAGGATTCTGGGGCTTTGTCTGACATACTTTGGATATGCTGTAAGGAGGGAGAGGTCTTTGGAGAGGAACATCATGCTTGGGAGGGTGGAGGCAGGGCGCCGGAGGGGAAGACCCTCTATGAGGTGGATTGATTCAGTGATTGGGGTAATTGGGATGGGTGTGTCAGAGGCAGTGTAATTGGCACAGGATAGAGCAGGATTTAGGGCTGTTGCACTTAGAGTCGCTATGAGTCGCAAGCGACTCGATGGCACATAACAACAACGTCAGTTCTGATTAGGTACTTATATCCAGAATTTATAAAATACTCGAGCACCACAACAAGATAAAGGAAAACAACCCAAATGAAAAATGGGCACAGGATATGAACAGACACTTCACCAAAGAAGACATTCAGATGGCAAACAAATACATGAAGAAATCCCTAGCTCTAAGAGAGATGCAAGTCAAAACAACTATGAGGTATTATCTCACCCCAGTCAGATTAGCAAAACTTAACAGAACAGCAAACAACAAATGCTGGCAAGGTTGTAGAGTAACTGGAACTTTTATTCACTGTTGATGGGAGTGTAAAATGGTGCAACTACTATAGAAGGCAGTATGGTGCTATCTCAAAAAGTTGCAAATAGAAATACCATTTGACCCAGCAATTCCACTACTGAGAATATACCTCAAAGAGACCATAACTGCCACCAAGCAGATATATGCACTCCCATGTTTACTGTGGCTTTGTTCACAATAGCAAAGAGTTGGAAACAACCCAAATGCCCATCAACAAATGAATGGCTAGAGAAGCTGTGGTATATTCACACAACGGAATACTATGCCGCATTGAAAAACAAGGAACTCATCAAATATTATACAAGATGGGTGACCCTGAAGGACATTATGCTGAGTGAAGTATCTCAATCACAAAAGGACAAATACTACATAGTGCCACTGTTATAAAGCAGGACTGATAATCGGAGTTCAGAGAAACCTAAGAGGGGATAAATAATGTATACTGCATTGAAACAGATGAGGCAGAGAACTGTTTAGGAGGAATATATGATTAGGTATTATTTTCATGACGAGAGTCCAGAATGAAAGCTGCATAGTGAAGCAGGCTGTGTATGTGTGTGTATAAAAATGAAATAATAATTTTTTTTACATTTTCAAAGAGAAAAGCAAACTAGTGGGAGGGTTGAGTGGGGAGGAAAATGTGCAACAATGAATGGAAATCCAAAGTCTCTGTAAACTTTCATTAAAATAAAATAAAAAAATTCTGGAAAAAAAAACACCCCAACTTCCTGCTGCTAAGTGAGTTCTGACTCACAGCAACCATTATGGGTTTCTGGAGCTATAAATCTTTACAGGAGGGAACTGTCCATCTTTCTCACAAGGAAAAGCTGATGGATTCGAACTGTCAGTCTCTCAGTTAGCTGCCTGAAAAATTAACACTATGCCATAGAGCTCCTTGAGTTAATCCTTCTTTTCACAACCAAGAAGTTTTTGTTCACCACAGATAGAGCCTAGAGATCACTGATGCCATTTCACTTTCTTTAGACGATCCTATCCATTTTGTTGGGTTCAATTTCTAAGCCCTTTTTCTAATGATTCTTAATTTTTTATGATGGGCTAGAGTTCTCTCCTGAATTCCACACTCAAACATCTAATACTATAAATCTGTAATACACAATGTGGGAGTCCTATGTACATGGGGTTACTCAAATTTACATCTAAATTCATTAAAATTAACTGCCCATTTCCTCGGCTGTACTGCAATTGGGGTAGTTCAATTACAGAACATTTTAAGCGCTGCAGAATGTTCTCTTAGATCCCTGCTCTAACGCAAACCTCCAAGTGGCTGTTTTACAAGTATCTAAAACTCAATAACCTGTAATGAAACTCATCTTCACTCATCAACTGTAATGATACCGTGACCTTTACCTTAGTGAGTAGTCTCATCATCTCCATCCATTTACTCAAGGTGGAAACTGTGTCTCCTCTACTTCTTATTCTTCCATGACTTAATTTTCAGTCTATACCATTTTTTTTTCAAAGAAACATTATTAATTGCTTAAATTATTTCAAGAATACACTTAACTGAACTCCTTTCTTTACCTTGTTCTAATCTAACTCATTCTCCATATTGTTGTTATGTACTGTTGAGTCAGAACCGATCTATAGCTGACCCTCCAGTGGGTTTTCAGAGTCTGTAAACTGCACAGGAGGAGGCTGCCTATCTTTTGCTCATGGAGCAGCTGGTGGATCCAAACTGTGAACCTTCAGGTTGGCTACCAGATCTTCCTATCCCATTCTCCATCCTCTATCTATAGTGATATTTCTAAAACAAAGATGTGTTCACACCACAACTTAATGCCTCTGGAATGGTTTGCTACTTGTACTTGGATTAAAATAAAACTAAAACCCACTGCTGCCAAGTTGGTTAAAACTCACAGATACCATGTGTGTTACAAAGTAGAATTATTTCCTAGGATGGTCTCACCTGTGATGTTGTTGCTGTTGTTAGGTACTGTTGAGTCCAGCATGACTCATAGCAACCCTACAAAGAAAAGATCTGAACTCTGTTCTATCCTCCACCATCCTCACATCTCCTGACACACAAGAGCCCATTCCAGCAGTCACCATTATCAATCAACCTGGTTGAGGGTCTTCTCCTTCACTGATACTCCACCCTTCGCAGCATCATGTCCTTCTCCAAGAAATAGCAATATGCCCAAAGTATGTAAGGCAAAGCCTTATCATTCTTGCCTCCAAAGAGCATTCAGCTGTACTCTCTCCAAGGCATATCTGTTCATTCTCTTGGCTGTCCATGGGATATTCAGTGCTCTTCTCCAATACCACAGCTCAAAGGCATCAATTCTTTTTCTGTCACCCTTATTCATTGCCCAGGTCCTAGATGCGGAGCTAGTAATCAGAAAAGATCATGCCCTTAATCAGATACCCCTTAGTCTTCAAAATTACATCAGTACTCTTCAATAATTTAGAAAGGCCCCTAATTGCAGATTTTCCCAGTGCAATGCGCCTCTTTTATTTCCTGACTTCTGGTACCCATGGTGTAACTTGTGGATCCAAACAAAATGAGGCTATTCCTCTCCATCTGTCACGACACTGTCTATCAGTCCAGTGGTAAGAATCTTTGTTTTCCTGACATTGAGATGCAATCCAAACCAAAGGCTGCATTCCTTGATCTTCTGCAACAAGTGCTTTAAGTCCTCCTCACCTCCAGCAAGCGAGGTTCTGTGGCATAATGCAGATTACTAATGAGTCTCCCTCCAATCCTGATACCACACTCCTCCTCACAGAGTCCAGCTTCTCGGATAATCTGCTCAGTATATAGATTGAATAGGTATGGAGAGAGAATACAACCCTGACACACTCCCTTCCCAATTCCAAACCATGCAGTGTTCCCTCGCTTCATTCGCACAACAGCCTCCTGGTCCAAATATAGGTTCCTCATAAGCACAATCAAGTGCTCTGGGATTCCCATTCTTCTCAATGTCAACCACAACTTGTCATGATCCACACAGTCAAATGACTTTGCATAGTTACTAAAGCACAGACATTCTGCTGGTATTCCTTACTTTCAGCCAAGATCCATCTGACATCAGCAGTGATATATCTGGTGCCACGGCCTCTTCTAAATCCTGCCTGAACTTCTGGCAGCTCCTTATCTATGTACTGTGCCGGCCATTTTGAATGATCTTCAGCAGTAGTTGCTTGCATGTGATATCAATGAATATTGTTCGATAATTTCCACCCATTCCAGGTCTTTTCTTCTGCAGTTGCACTACATAGGTTTCAATCACCAAATTTAGATCAGCAGTCATGGATAAACCACTTATATTACCCAGAGACCTGGATCACTTAATGATGCCAACAAGATGATGCAGACATATAGCACACTACATGTTAGAGTAGAACTGTACTATTGAGTTTTCGTCAGTGTAAATGCAATGGGAGCAAAATGCCAGGACCTTCCTTCACTAAGCAGGTTCCTTCTTCGAACCTCTAGGTTAGTAGGCAAGTACACTCTTTGTATAACCTGTGGCTTACAAGCTGTTGCTATGGCATCAATCCAATGCATTTCAGCCCTACAGGATAAAGCAGAATTGCCCGGCTGGGTTTCTAAAGCTTACTCCTATGGAAGCTGACTACTGCATTGTCCTCCTGGCGACCGAGTGGCTGGTGGAATCTAATTGCCAACCTTTCTGTTAGCAGAAGAGTGCTTACGCACTGTCACCACCACAGCTTCTCTTAGGACTTATACCAACCTCTAACCTTGACCTCTCTGCAGCTTTATTTTTTTAGCTTCATCTTTTATTATTCTCCTGTCTTCATGCTCTACAAATTGAGTTTCCTGAAAGTGCTATGTGCTCCATCTTTGGGGAAGTTACTGACAGTTTTCTTTCTGCTTGAAACAGTCTTGCTCTCCCTGACTTGACTAACTCATTTCCTCATCACCTTAGATGTCATTTTCATCAGAAAGTCCTCCTGGCTTTCAGGAGATTTTCTTTTTCTCCATTTGCACAGCTCCGTATCTAGCACAGGCCCTTAACTACCACAGCAATCCTACCAGTGTTCCAGATTCCAGCCTTCTTAAAGAAAAATGCTTTCTATTCAGGTTATCTCCCTCCACATATACCTTCTATGTGCTCAAAATACTTACCAGATGTTCATTATCAAAGGAAAAATTCCAACGCACTTAGCCTGACATTCTTCTTGATTGTTTCTAAAATCCTGGCTCATGTGTTCCCTTTCATTCTCCTTCATTCTTCCCTCCAATCATATGGATTTAGGTAAAATGGCCTTTGAAGTCCAACTCAGCATACACCTGACCTGCTCGCTAAAACCTGCCTTCACCATTCTAGGCCAATGATCTCTGCTGCCTAATGAACTTGGAGAATCATTTGGCTTTTTATTAACTTAGCTATTAATGCTGAGGTTTTAAAAACATGTACCCTCTTTTGTCTATCTTTCACTTCAATTACTTTCTAGAGGGAGAAACAACTTCATATTGCTCAACCAACCCCTCAAGCTACAATTTTTTTTTTATTTTTATTATTTCTTGCCTTCCTGATACTTTAGAATTTCTCAAAGCCTTTATCCACTGACTCATCAACCTTAATCTCAACTCCCTGCCAGCTGGCATGTGCTTTACAAAGTTAATCTTTTCAATCGCACTCTGACTTCCTTCTTGTTCAAATCCTTTTCTTTGTTCCTATACTCCTTGGCATTTTTCCCACCCCCTCTGTTTAAACTACTGACCTTGAATGCTGCCTCCTGCTTTTGATAGGGGAAAGGTTGTTTATGACAAGAATAAGAAAAAAACTGAGCATATTATGGGCCACCAGAAAAAAAGTCAGCAGAGAGAGACTGAAAATTAAAGAAACATAGGGTAGAATTAGGAGCACAGCTGGGGCAAAAAATGACTGAACAGGAAGAATCATTCTTTAATACTGGTAGGAAGGAGAGAAAGATGACTATAAGTCCAGATAAAAGTGATGGGGTTGCAGGAAGGTTTTGATCATTTATCACTGTCTTACCTGTTGATTTGCCACCATCTTACCTGTTGGTATCTCTGGCCACATCCTCATAGACACTCTGTACACCAATCTCCAATCTTGTGCAGCCATACGTCAACATGTCGCTTAAGTGGCGTTTCATGCAATAGTCTGGTCTGGTCTCAATAGTAATCCCAATACATTTTGTGTGGCTTCTCTCAGAATACCTGAGGAACAAATCTAAAGATGAACAATCTGTATTCACAAATTTAAGACATTTACTCTCATTCAAAGAATTCTCTTTTTTTTCAGACCTCCCAAGTACAAGAGAGTAGTTAACAGCATGGTTTCTAAAGCCGGATCATCTGAGTTCAAATCTTGGCTCTGCTACTTCTTAACTCTGAAGATGGGAATGCCATTAACATCTCTGGACTTTAGCCTCTTCATCTGCAAACACACTGAGCTGATTCTAGCTTATAATAGCCCTAAAGGACAGAAGAGAATTACCCTGCAGGGCTTCCTTGGCTGTAAATCTTAAGGATGGAGCAGACACGATTCCCTTTCTCCTACAGCAGCTGGTGGGCTTGAACCTTTCTGAGCTTTCAGTTAGCAGCCCAATGCCACCAGTGCTCTTATTATCTTTAGAAAGAGGATAATAATAGTATATCTCTCATAGAGCTAATGTGACTGAACATACAGTGATGTTATCAACACCATCATTATCATTTTTATTCTTCTACACGATGCTGCAATCATAATCTCCTTGAAAGCTGTGATTTCAACTGTGAAAACCTTATTTTCAATTCCTAGCAACCATTTTTCACAGAAATAAAAACCATCTGCATTATTTATTTCTCACTCTGTATTTTAGAGTTATGTTAAATAAAAAGGAGGGGGAAAGGAATATATATAATGATTATGATCATTCAAATGAAATGTCTTCTATAAATGCAACAGTCTTTCTGCCAAGGCTCTTCATCTTAGTAAGGATTTACAAAATCTGCCATTTTTTTCCTCTTTCATGCAAACCAGACAGGAAAGTAGTAATTACCGCATTAGCCTCATACTGTTTGAGTTAACGACCTTAATGCTGGTCAAAGAGTCGGGAAAGCAAAAATTAGTCAGTAAGGGGACTGGTGATGTGAGGTGCCAACACTGTATCTCAGTTAGCTTCAGCGCTGACTGAAAAGTCAGCACCCACCACCGGCAGCTTCATGGGACAAGTACCTGTTGATCTATTCCCATAAGGGTTACATATGACTGAGAAAACCCTATGGGATTATTCTACTCTGTCTCATAGGGCCACTGAGTCAAAAATGAACTAGATGGCATCTAAGAGCACACACTCTATAAAGTATATTTAATCTCCATTTGTCAGGTGAAAAAATAGAAGCTCAACATGATTAAATATCTTGTCTAAGGTGACTTGTTGTCAAGTGCTCACAGAAACCCCAGGAACAAGAGATCTGCACTCTGTCCTGTCCCGTACCCATCCTCATCAGCGTGACATTGCCGCAGACACTGCATTAATCCACCCCACTGGGGGTCATCTTCTCCTGCACTGACCCTACTTCACCTTCCCAAGCATGATGTTCTTTTCCAAGGCACAGACTCACATAAAGATGCAAATTTGAGTCCACCCAACTTCAGCATCACACCACACTGCCCAGACGACTCAGAGCTGGGTCATCTTCTCTCCTTCACAACATCCCTAACTTTTTAAGACACAGGAATTTGCAGTGCACTATTTGAAAACTTCCTCAGCTCTCCAGGAAGAATGAAGAAGTTATTTTCCTTTTGTCATTTCATTTCCTTCTTTCTTAAAAGGTGAAAAGCATAAATATATTTGATTAAGTTTACAAATACTCCTTTAGGCTCATATTTCTTTCTTAATTGTCAGTAAAAATGACTAATTTATGTTTATATTACTAAGAAAACTAAGAGTCGTAGAACTAGGGGTGCATTGTAAAGTTTTTCTTTCTTAAAAATGCAAACTCTACTGCACTGTTTATTATTGTCTTCTGTAAGATTTTATATAAGATTGTCAAAGACTAGAGCAGTAAGAGAAAACAACTAGTGCAAAATTACTAAAAGATGAATCATAAGGCAGGAAAAGGACTCTTGCCTAAAATAGGACAGTAAATTGTTTCACTTCTCTGAAACAACCTCAGCATTCTCAAATAGATTAGTCTCATGACATGCCATAAAAGAAGGGCACACACTGTACAATAAATTAGCTCACTGGTCTAATGGATAAGGAGTTGTGCTGCCTACCAATCCCAAGGCAAGTTGTTTGAAGCCACCAGGTGCTCCACAGCAGAAAGATAGGAAATCTCCTCCCGGGGATACGCTGCCTCAGAAAACCTACTGGGAGGTCATCTATGAGTCAAATCTAACTCTATGGTACACAGCAACAAGTATAATAAATACAACACCTTGTTAGAATATCAATTATTGTGCCTGGGGGAAAGAAACGCTTTTTAAATTAAAGAAAGTGAGATTTGCATGCAAGTTAAATAAAGAAAAAAAAGGCAGGAAAACAGTTCAATTCTTATCTATTAACATTTATGATATTTAATGTCAAATTAGTATATTTAACAAGGTAAAATAGCCAAGCCTGATTATAAATTTCACTATTTAACATCCTAGATTCAGACATTCCAAAATTATATCAAGATATCTCTCATCCAATTATATAATATTCTTAAAAAGCCTACAGAATTTACACTCTATCTTATAAGTAAACGCATTAAGCTAGCAAATTCAGAAGTACAATAGGAGCTTGCAATTGCAAAAAACAAGACAGGCAATTGGACAACTGGGGATTTGTCTAGGAGAAATAGAACATTTACTAGCTAATCTTTCCATCGCACGGATTATCAATGACCCACCACGGACTTATAGAGAAAGCTGCAGCAAGGATAATAAGGTCTCTTCATAAGTTCACACTACAGGACACAGGAGAGAGGCAAAGAAGACCTCACACACAATTTTACTATACTTCAAAAACGTTTTCTTCTGGGGAGAGGAAGTCATTAGATCATCACCTTTTATAGGAGCAGAAACGGAGAAAGAAAAAAATTACTCAAGTTTTTTAAAAATTAGCATTTTATATTTAAAAAAAGGTTTCCACCACTGTTCTCTTTTCAGAATTATATTTTCACTTGTAAAGCAAGTAAGTAGAAATTCCTATCAAATTGTTGTGGTGGTGGTGGTGTACAATGGAGCTGGAAATGACCCAGAGCTGAGCCTCAGGGGGTTTTCAGAGGTAGTTAATGGAAGGAGACTATCCATCCTTCTCCCACGGAGCATTCAAGGGCCTTCAATACTGCAGCACAGCTTCTTACCACTAGGACACCAGAGCTCCCTATCAAATTAGAATTGCAAAAACAATGAAGAGACTGTGTGCCGACAGTATAAGCTCAACTCCCCCATTGGACCATTGTATTTTAATTAGAATTTTCTGTTAATGTCATATTTGGTACTACTTACAAATCACTAAGTAGGTTCACCTCTTCGTTCAAGAGATTTAAAGATACCAATGTAACTATTTTTGAAGTGCATATATGTGCATGCAGGCTTTTACCTCATCTAAGTAAAATGTTCCAGCTGACATAGGGACTGCTTTTCTTCTTTATATCATTTAGACAGTCACTGATACTAAATATTTTATTGACTTCATTTAGTACCAAGTTCAGTAATTTCCATGTCTTACAGGGAATTCAAAAATATGAATCTGAAAAACATTTTCCAAGCCTGATTATAAATTTCTAAGATATAGTCCTACAAGGACAACTGGGCCTTAAAGTCCACTGCTCTTTTTGTTCTATTCAATGGTCATCTTAAAAAATAGCCCACCACAGAATCACACAGGATTTTCTGTTGAATCCTATCCTTTTGTGCACGACAAGGGAGCTCTCACCAAACCCCTGCTGCTGAGATGGTTCCAACCCCCTCAGCCCTAGGTAACAGCCAGCCTCCAGGGCGCTCGGGTGAAGGCCCCTGGGTGTCGTTCCACCACTAACTCAAAGGCTGCTGACAATCTACCAACTGTTCTGAGGGAGAAAGATGGGCAATCTCCTCCGGTTAGGATTTACAGCCTTGTAAACACACTGAAGGGTTTCTAAGAGTCAAAACTGACTCCCCCACAGTGCGTTTCTGAACACAGAGTGGAACAGCAACAGAGCGATTGCCACAACTTTCCCTGAGGGGGTAGGGTGAGGCTGGGGGCTCAAACTGCCAACCTTCCAGGTAGCAGCATACTGTTTCAACCACAGCATGCCCAGGGGCCCCTTACAAGAGCTCTATCTATAACATTTATACAATATAAGCCACACTAATGTTCTCTGTGAAGTATAATTTAACACAGTAACTTATGCTGACATCATTTTTACAACTGGGAATTGAAGGAGAGAAAAAAAAATATCTGAGCATTTAGAAGCAAATAAAGGCCAAATGCTACCAGTCTTCAAAACACAGCTTGAAAACATTTCTGCTTCCATGACATCTACATCTGTAAGAATTCCGTGTTCCCATTCCCAAATTTAGTTTGTCGTGCTATTTGTGAATATGCCTGCTCTCCATTGAGATAGAACTTTCCTAGAGACCAAACTGTAGAATATTTAAACATATAGTGCTTATAAAATTGTGCGCTAAAACCTGTTCTTTAATTAGAAAAAAAAAACACACGTTTAAAGAATGAACAAATAAATGAATAAGGTATAACTGGGGAGACCCAGAAGGCTTCTCCTCATTCTCATTATCAGCCTCTATAGAATTAGTGCTAATCTTTTCTCTTGCAAACAGTGAGTATTAGAAGGTGTCAAACACTAGATCATGTACCATTGTCAAAATATGCTACTTCTAGTCCCAGAGATGCTGAAAAATCTCACTCCTGAAATAAGGAATACAAATGAAACAAAGAACCACTATAGAAGAAAGATCTAGAATTAGACATATAAACAGGTTCAGGCTGTTTCGTGAGAAGCATGTTTCTATTTCTGGAGAGAAGATGAGCTGGTAAAGTGCTATCTACCATTATATGCTATTAGGGCCCCAGATACTGAAGAAACACAGCACAACAATTTTAAAGCCTTTTTATCACCTTCACGAAACTATCTATGATTCACTCCAGGAAGGTACAAGGCAACATCTTTCATTATTATCATTCAGCAGCAGCTCCTCTTCTAAAGCTCGTCACTGATGATACTAGGTGAATGAACCTTTG